ACCCCCCTCTCCCCGGACCCTGAGCTACAGGGGAGAGGGGACTCTGGTGCCCTCTCCCAGCGCCTTCGTTCCCCTCTGTTGTGTGTCATGGCCACCAGGCGAGGCTTTGTTTGCAGAGAGCACTCAGTGTGCAAACCCTCTGAAGTCCCTGCTCACTCAGCCCTCGGCTTTAAAATGCATGGTCCTGGGTTTGGGAGAATGGAGGCCTTTCTCCCAGTTCTCCCAAACACACGGAGCTCCTGATGAAGCCAAGTGCACGTCTGCATCCTGGTGTGATGGCCTTGCCTCCAAACGGACAACAGACACAGGCCCGTGGGTACCGAGAGGACCCCTGAGCCGGCTCCCAGTGGGAGGAGGCAGGGGTGCTGGAGCCCAGGCTCAAGCGGAGGCGGCAGGAAGGGAGCGGCTTTGCTCCGTGCCCAGGCCTTGCCAGGTGCTCACGGCCCAGGTCCCCTCCAAGCCCATGAGAGGTGTTTCTGTGCTCCTCTCCCTCCCTCCCTCCCTCCTTCCTTCCGGATTTGCTGAGCACCTGTCTGTGCCAGGCGCTGGGGCACAAAGGCAAAGCCAGCATCCCAAGACCTCACCGCCCCGCGCCACGCGAGAGCATCTTCACGAAAACACTGTGGCCGCGGTGGGTGCAGGACGCAGGGCAGCCCCAAGGACTCGGGGAAGAGTCTCCAGTGGAGTGAAAGCCGCGGGACCTGAAGGCTGAGGAAGGGCATCCCAGGCGGAGGGAACCGCATGCGCGAAGGCAGGAGGCAGGGAAGAGCCTGCCTGGCCTGGGATCTGTGGGTCCAGGGAATCTGCTGGGTGAGGTTGGGGTCCCAGAACCCACTCCCTGGACCCTCTGCCTTCTGACCTCCTTTGCTCCCGGTTAGAAGAGGCCGTGGCCCAGCCGCACAAACAGGTGCTTTGACAATGGAGAGAGGGAGTGAGGAAGGAGGGGCCAGCTGCTGTGTGTGTGTTTCGGGATTGCTTCCCAGAAACCTGCCCCTCCACCTCCACCGACACCATGGCAACCGGGAGGCAGCTGGGAAGCCACCTGTGAGCAGGGCTGGGTTGAGGGGGAGGAGGGCTGGGGGTAGGGACCTCTGCTCCCCCTCTCTGAGCCTCAGTCTTCAAATCTAGAATATGGGCACAGCAACCCAGTTGTGGGCTCCTGTCAACCCAGATGCTCCAGGAAGCCCAGGCCCAGGCCCCAGCTGGACTCCTTGGGGGAAGGCCTGGGAGGTGAGGGCGGGGCTGGGGAGCGCCCTGCCTCATCCTGCAGCTGGGGGCTGGGCTGGGCAGCAGGGAGCCCCTGAGCCTCTTGGCCTGGTGTGCCCACTGCACTGTCACTGCGGAGGAGCCCAGGGAGGAGACAGGGCGGAGACACAGACAGGGATGGATCCCCCTGGGAGCCTGCAGTGAGAGATCTAGGGGTCTCCCCTGCTGGGGCACAGGGCTCAGCTGTCCCCAAAACCTGGCCAAAGCCTCCAAAGAGGGGCAAGGAGGCTTCTATTTCCTGAGGCTGCTGCTCCGATGGCTGCAGACCGGCCTACACCAACAGGAACACGTGCTCTCCCCGTCTGGGGCCAGAGTCTGAAATCAGGGCGCCTGGGGGCTGTGCTCTCTGGAGGACTCCTGGGCCGGGTCCTTCCTGCCTCCTCAGCTTCTGGGGGCTCCTGCACACACCCCTTCAATCTTCACGCGGCCCCTCCTCCGTCCTCGCCTGTGACCACGTGGCCTCTTGGTTTTGATGTCACCAGGCCTTCCTCTGCCTGAGCTCCACGCTCCTGCGACCAGGGAGCGTGTGCTTCGGAGGCACCTGCTTCCCTCAGGTTGTGGCACAGATGCTCCCAGTGCCTGCTGGTGCCCCTGCCGTGTTTGTCAACCCCAACCCCGGGGCAGAATCACACACGCCCCCTCCCTCGCCTTTGCCTTCCTGGCCTGGGCCTCCGTGGCCTGGGCATCTCTGCTGCCTGAGCCCTGTCCCCCTCCAGGGGTTGGGTTCTGAGAAGCTGGGACCTTCGAGAAGATTGCCCGTGGACTCGCACAGGATGTGCGGGATGTGGGCAGGGGCTAGGGCCGCTTGTGCATTTCCTTAGGAAGGAGCTGCTGAGTAACGAAGACCGGGAAGCAGAAGAGCCCAGGAAGGGGCTGGGGGTGAGGAGGGAGGCTGGAGGGACTTTTTCTTCCTTTTTTGAATCCTCACCTGAGGACGTGTTTATTAACTTCTTTTAGAGAAACATCAATGAGAGAAACATCCATCCGTTGCCTCCCCGTATGCACCCTGACTGGGGATGGAACCCTCGACCTTTCTGGTGACATTCAGATCCACTGAGCCACCCGGCCCCGGGGCTGGAGGGACTTTCTCAAGGGCTGGGCCAGGCTGGATCCGATGGGTGAGGCGCCCCTCCCTGATCCAATCTGTGGGTTCAGGACAGTGATTTCCTTGTCATCTCAGGCTTCCGGGCAAGGAGGAACCGGAGAAGCAGAGCCAAGGGGAAAGGCCCTGCCTACAGGGAACCCCCCACCCCCCTCTGATGGGGGAGACCCAGCCCTGCCCTCTGGGATCTCCTGAGAAACAGAAACCTGCCTCTTCTCTCTGCCTTTCTCAACGTCTTGGTCCCAGAAAGAGACAAACTAGGCAGAGAAATGAGCAGGTGCTCGGAGCAGCCTGGAGACAGTTCCAGCCAGGATCTGGCCAGGGGCCTGAAGAAAGGTCTCTCAGGATGGGGACGGAGTCAGCGAAGGTGGGAAGGACAGGCTGGGAGCCAGCACTCTGGGTGGATGTCAGACAGAGCTGGAGTCAGGGTGGGTGAGAAGAGAGGAGGTGAGGAAGAGAGGAAGCAGGGGCCCAGGCCCAGGAGTTCGGGTTCTTCTGGATTACAGCAAACAGAAAAACTCGCACCTAGAAAGCCCGGCCTGATTTATTTTTCCCATTTCCGAAAATACTACCACTCCCCTTGACAGAAGCCCAGGGCCACCTTCACACCTCCCTCCTCCCTCACTCCCCTCCCCTCCTGTCTGTCCTTATCACTGAGGCTGCACCCTTCACCTCTGCGCCCCCAACCCCTGCTGAGCCTCTCACCAGCCTCCTGCCTCTTAAAAACACAAATGTAGACTCTCTCTCCCACTGTTTTTTTGGGGGAGACAACCTAATTTTTGGAGGCTATGCTTTGGCAAAACAAAACAAACAAACAAAAACCCACAAATGGGATGCCCCCTCCCCTTTAAAAGCCTTGCTGTGGCTTCTCATTGCTCTTAGAATAAAATAAGAAATTCTGTGGCCCCCAGGTCAGTCCAGCCCCTGACAGCCCCAGGCACCCTGCATCTCTCACAGGACCTGGGACAGCCCCACCCTGTCCTCAGGGCCGTTACCTGCTGTGCCTGTGCCTAGAGCATCTTTTCCTCTGCTGTCCCACCAGTTGCTGAGGGTCCCCCTCCCCAGACACTTGTCCTTCAAAACACCTGCTCCCCTTCCTCCATCTCCACCCAGCCCAGCATGCTCGGTCCCCCTTTCTCCTTCATAGAACCTGCACAATATATTGAGTACAATTATTATTATTTTTTAAATATATTTTATTGAGTTTTTACAGAGAAGAAGAGAGATGAATAGAGTCAGAAACATCGATTGGTTGCCTCTTTCAAATCCCCTACTGGGGATGTGCCCACAACCAAGGTACATTCCTTGACTGGAATCAAACCCGGGACCCTTCAGTCCATAGACCGACGCTCTACCCACTGAGCCAAACTGGTTTCAGCACAATAGACAATTGTTTATTGGTGCATTTATTTTTTAATTGTCTATCTTTGCCCATTGAAGGTCTGTTTCCCTCTTACTGGCTGCATGAGGGCAGAGATCTTGTCCCTTTTTTCATATCTGTGTTCCCAGCACCTGGCAGGTACTAGCTCCTAGGAGGCACACAGGAAGTGATCGTTGGAGGAATAAATGGAAGGACCCCTCACCTCCCCCACCCCACATTCTGAGGGGACTCTGTCTCCCCACCTTCCTGGCCCTTACCCTCTGCCCTCAGTTGCAGTATGTGGCCTCCCCTAGGCCCTGGCCCCAGGGCAGCTAGTCTTGCAGGGAGAGGAAGCTCACCTGCTGACACAGAGGCTGTGAAGCTTGCCCACTGGCAGCAGCACGGAGGCAGGGAGAGGCCACTTCAGGCGGTGCGAAGAGCTGAGGCTCAGAGCAACTAACCCATCTGAGGTCACACAAATAGCAAGTGGCAGAACCAGGATCCAAAACTCTTTTATTGCAACACCTGTGCTCATTTCCCTTTCTCGTGCCACGATAAAGGAAAGACAGGAAAGCCAGTTAGAAGCTCCTGCCGAATGGAACCTGGTGAGTGGGGACAAGGTCTGGCCCAGGGCAGTGGCCTGGGAAGGAGGGCAGGCATTTGAGATCAGGTTGGAATTTGGGAAGTTACGTACTTGAGTGTGAAGGTTCAAGAAGATGGGTGGGAGAAGGATCCGAGGGGCCTGGGAGAGCTAGGAGCCAGGGCAGAAGGGGGATGTGAGAGATCTCAAGGCAGAGATCTGCGTGTCTCAGACAGAGACCAGGGCAGGAGCAAGGCCAGCCTGGGGGCATTGATGAGCTCATTGGGAATATGTGGGAGGCCAAGGCCAAGGCCAGGCCTGGGGTCGCCCACAGACTGAGGTTGGAGGAGAGAGAAGGAACAATTGGAGGAGGAGGAGGAGGAAGCTGGGTCCCTTTGTGGAAAGGGTGGGAGGAGATAGGCATCAGCTTCTCAGGGTCAAGCGCCCTCTGAGAGGTCAGGGGGATGAGGCCCTGGTGACCTTGGAAGTCGGGGGGAGGGGGGGGCGGACCAAGGAGGTTGGAGGAGGGGAAGTGGCGGTGATGCACGTAGATTCAGCAGCAAACGAAGGGGTGGTGGTGAGAATAATGAAGGGAAGGATCATAACTCATATCCCTGCTACTGAAACCTCAGCTCCCACACATCTCCTTCACAATGAGCCAGAGACAGGTTGTATTTTTTTTTTTTAACATTTTAATAAAATTAACCAATAAATATTCTATACTGTATAGGCTACAGGGACAAAGAAGAAGCCAGAGGGCTGTCTTTCCCTCTCAGGCCCTCAGGTCCCCTCACGGAAAGAGATGGTTCTGGGCTGGTCTGGGGCTGGGACTGCCTATTTGGGGGGTGAGGGGAGTGATTCCAAAGTGGGTGATCTGGGCCCCTGCAATCCATCCCTCTTTGTTGGTATAGGGGAGAGGAGAAGGGGCAAAAAGAAAAAAGCAAAAAAAAAAAAAAAAAAAAAAAGCAGAGCCTCTGAAGGAGGCATCCCCGGGAGTGTCATGGGTGAGGGGAGAGCTAGCCTAGAAGGAAGGGGGAGGGAGGCCCACAGGGCAGGGAAGCAGGAGCGTGGGCCGGGGAGGGGCTGGGGCATCTGTCAGACCCACAGCCACTCACTCTCGGACGTAGACCCTGGTGCACACAACGTCGTCTGCCGTCATGGTCTGGAAGGAGGACAGAAGGAGGACAGAGGTCATTGTTAGCCCGGGAGGCCCTGGCCCTGTGGCTTGGGAAGAGGAGGAGGTTGAACAAAGGGACTCTGTCTCTAGGCCCAAACCTGCGTCTTGGTTCAGGACCAACAGACAGAAGCTGGTCCCCAAATGCCTGGGCATCGCCGGAGGGGAGATGGCACCAGAGCCTGAGGGGTCTGCCCTATAGCCTCATCCGAGGCCAGGGAGCGCCCCTGGAGAGCCGCTGGCACCTCAGTGAAGGCCATTGTTCCGCTCAGAGGGGGCGCCATTCCTCATTTGCGGGAGGGCACTGCGTGGACAGGGACAGCTTGCTCACCCCCCAGCAGCCCCAGTAGGACTCTCCTCGGACCCCTGCACCCCGGAGTGCCCCAGAACATCCCCCGAGGTGGCAGAACGCTTAGGCTTCGCTGGGAGGAGGCCGGACTCACCAGGATCAGCTCCCCATCGTTGGTCAGCTCTCTGGTCCAGGAGGTCTTGGGACCCTCTCCCTTCAAAAGCCTCTGCTCACAGACCATCTTGTTCTCGCTTTCCCATTTCACCAGGCTCTGCAGGGGAGGCGTGGCCAAGTGAGCCGCGCCCCCATGGGGGGGCGGGCAGGTAGCAAGAGAGATGGGAGATGTACCCCTTTCCACCCACCACCGCTACCGAGGACTCCTCCATTAGAAAGAGAAGGGGGTCCAGGAGGGGCAGGGCAATGGAAGCCATGATCCTGAGGGTCTCACCTTGCACGGCCTCCCGTCCACGGTCTGCTCCTCAAACTCCTCTCCGACCTTGAAGTTGATCTCCGTGGTGCGCACGGTGGTGGAGGTCTTGATGTAGAAAGTGTCTCCCTCCTGCTTGATCTCCACCGCGGGCTTGGATGCGGCCGCCACGGCGATCTTCCTCAGCATCACGTTCACCCCTGAGAGGAGAGACAGGCTCGCCTTTTGGGGTCCTCCAGGCAGCCCTGTGTTACACCCTCCCCGTGAGACAGCCGGAGCAGTCTGGCTAGTTTCCAAGAAAGTTCGTGAAGGACAGGGCGGGTTTAGAGAGGAGGGCAGAGAGGCGGTGCCTGCCCTTAAGGATCCTGGTCCTAGGAGCCACCCGCCTGGGAGGGTCAGCAGTCCTAGGTTAGCCCCCCACTCGCCCCTCCCTCCCCCTCCCCCTGACTCAGCTCAGGGGCACGTTTCCCCTTCCCCTCACCCAGCAGGCATCCTGCTATGGCTCTGTCCACCTCACTTGTTGGCTCTTTGTCTACTCTACTGGAGACCCTCTGTGCCCTCCCCGCTGCCCATGTGCAGGACACACCCTCCCAGGCCAGGCCTCCCCACTGTTTTGTTTGTTTGTTTTTTATAAATATATTTTATTGATTTTTTACAGAGAGGAAGGGAGAGGGAGAGAGAGTTAGAAACATCGATGAGAATCATCTATCAGCTGCGTCTTGCACACCCCCTACTGGGGATGTGCCTGCAACCAAGGTACATGCCCTTGATGGGAATCGAACCCAGGACCTTTCAGTCTGCAGGCTGACGCTCTACTCACTGAGCCAAACCGGTTTCGGCCCTCCCCACTTTGTACTGGAGGTGGGGACCTACTTCCCTCCCTGTGCTACCCCCTCCCCTGTCTGGTGCCTTCATTTGCCCACTCTCTGTCCCTCCCCAGCATGAGAGGGGGCAGGGACTCCCAGCAGGAGAAGCGGTGGCCACAGCTGGGGAGCTCAAGGCTCTGGAGTGAGACCCATTAGGCCTGATTTCCACCTGGTGCAGCCGCCCTGTGGGCTGGGTGACCCTAGGCCAATGGCTTAACTCATCTGAGCCTCAGATTGCTCAACCGTACAGCAGAGACAATAGCTTCTTCCAAAGCCTGGCAGGTGGGATGAGGTGGGTGTGTTTGGGACTTAGCACCCAGCACCAGGCACACCTTTGCGTTTTTAAGGAACAGTAGCTAGTCTTGCTGCTGCTGCTGGTACTTGTACTGATAAAAGAAAGGCAAGGAAGCAGCTGGGGCGCAGGCATTCTCTGCACCAGACTCTGCTCACCTGCCCTCCTGGGAGCTCCCCCGCCTGCCCTTCGCCCTTCCCGGGACAGAAAGGGGCACTGCCCTCCCCTCCCCTGATGTGTCCCCGACTCCAGGATCTCCCTTCTCACCTCAGTGGTAAGTGCTTCTCACTCAGAGTCCCGTGCCTGTCTGCATATCCTTTCCCAGACCGGACCCCTGCTCTCTGCTCCCCCTTCATAAAGAGGGGTGGGGGAGCCAGGAGAGAGCACCCCCTGACAGAAGAGAAGCAGGCCGGGAGGCACCTCACACCACTCTGCCTGGCCAGCCTCCTGCCCTGAGCGGAAGCCCTCAGAGAAGCAATGGGTGGGGAGGAGGGGGCCAAGCTGGGCTGGGCCAGGTGAGCGGGATTCCCCTGCCCCTGATCCGGCCCAAACTCCCTTCCCTCCTCTAGGCCTGGGTTCCGAGACAAACGATCCTCTTCCCCCTGGCACCACGGCACACCCTCAGGCTGGGGAGAAGTGGCGGAGGCCCCAGGTCCAGCTGCCTGGGGAGAGGAGGCACGTCCCACTCCATCGTCCTGCACTGAGGCCACTGCACTCTTTTGCGGCCTGGGAAGTCCATCCTGGTCTCGAACACCCCTTTCCTGTTACAGGAGCAGAGCCTCCTCCGTGCCATGGCCATCGCACTGCAGGGACAGTTATCCTCCAGGCCCCTGAGCATCCCTCCCAGGAGAGGGACCCTGATGAGGGCGAAGGAGGGCGAGAAGAGACTGAGGCTCCTGTGGAGGCAGGGCTGCTGGGTTCAGGGGAGCCGCCCCTCCAGCCTGCCTCTGCTGCCGGTGGAGCTGACTCAGGACCGTGTTAATGGGTCTGTTTTCAATCTGTCTCCCAGCAGGACCCGAGGAGGGCACGTGGCTCTGAGACACCCTGCAGGGAGGACAAACAGACGAAGGTAGACAGACAACGGGGTTGGGCTCTGGGTCTCATTCTCCACCAGCGGGGTCCTGGGGGTGCCTCATCCACTGGGGAGAGCAGCCAAATCCGGAGCTGGGGAGGGGAAGTGTCCTATCCTTTTGGTCTTTCATGGCAGCGAGGGCAAATCAAGAAAGACTGACATGACTGGAACCCTGTGGTTAGACTGCAAGAAGAACCGACACCAAGGAATGCTGGAAATCCCTGCTTTTCCGATAACGTTCTGCACCCTTTTGAATCCTAGGTTCAGATTCACCCCTACAGCTCCTGGCCCCACACCAGGTGCCCCTCCCCACCCAGCCCAACTGGGTTTTCTCTGTTCCGTCCTGAAATGGGTGGCTCCAGGGCTCCCCCCACCCCCGTGGCTCCCCGTTGCTTAAGGAATCTCCATCTCTTCCCAGAGCCCCCGCCCCCTCCAGCCATTTCCTAAGGTTCACCCCTTCCCCAGACAGAGGGCACACAGAGCTGGGCAGGGCCCTCTGCGGGCACAGCTTTCCCTGCCTTTGGCCAGCACCACGGGCTGGGCTGGAGGGTATCCAGGGAGAAGGGAGAGGAGCGCACGGAGTGGGGAAAGTGGAGGGGGGGGGGGCGTTCCACACAAAGCCATTTCTTGAAATCGAAGAAAGTGATAATTATCTAGAGCAATTTTAGGTTTCTGGAACTCGCTGTAGGAAAATACTTGTCTCACAGATGGGGTGAGGAGGGAGCAGAGTGGGGAAAGTGCTGAGGGGGAAGGAGGGGGACTGAGGGGGAGAGGGGGCGCTGGGCTGGCGATCACCTGGTGGGCGGAGAGCAGCACGCGGGAAGGAACTTGCCGGCTGGGTTACCAGAGGGGACGAGGAGAGGCCAGAATGTCTCCGAGGGGCTGAGGGGCGGGGATGGGGCGGGGGGGTAGGGGCCCCGGATCCCTGCCTGGATGCAGGGTTCGCAGCCTCTGGACTGGAGAGCCCCTCTTCCCCACCCAAAGGGACACCCACCTCGCGCTTCTGGTTTCTGCTTGATTCACGGGCTGAGTCACTGCGGGAGCCGGCACCGGTGGGCGCCCCGCCAGGGGAAGCAGGGTTTAGGTGTCCCGGCCCAGCACCCCGGGACCCAGCACCCCGGGACCCAGCACCCCGGGACCCAGCGGGAAGGCCCCTTTTTCGGGAGGATGCAGAGGGACTTAGCCTCCTAAGTCCTGATTCTACCCCCCTTCCTTTCTTACTCTCACCTCCGAAGACTCCCTCACCCCCTCTCCTCTCCCAGGCCCTTGAAAAATCTCCTTACCCAGCACTTTGAGCAAATCCTCGAAGTTTTCGGATCGGACGATCTTCCAGTTGCCGGAGAAGTTGGGCATGGTGGCGGCGCTGGCTCCTCGGCCCGAGCACTGGACGGCGAGTCCCTGCGTCTAAGGAGAGGTGGCCGCCGCCGCCTGGGCCGGACCGGAGGCGCGGGGGCAGGACGCGTCCCAGGGCAACCCGGAGCTGGCCGGGGCGCGCGGCCGCCTTTATAGCCGGAGCGGCCCGCCCCTGCGCCCGGAAAAAAAACCCGGGGTGGCCCCTCCCCCGCCCCGCCCCCCGCCCCACCTGGGGGGCCCCGAGCCCGGGCCCCGCAGCTCAGCCCCCCGCCCCCAGCCTCCCGCCGCCCCGCGGGCCCCGGGGGCGGGCCCAGGGTTTGTCGGGACCGAGGTCGCCTGCCCCGCGCCCTCGGTGGGACGGGGGAGCGGACGGGGGACGGGGAGCGGGGACTGGGATTGGCCTCTCCGCCGGGGGGGGGGGGGGGGGTGAGGGGCGTGGGGCGCAGATGCTCCGGTCTCAGGTCCTGCAGTCCGAACCCCAGGGTCCTGTCTGGCGGGTCCCCCAGGTCTCCCCAGCTCCTCGGGCTCGGAACCTGGAGGCATCCCGGCGGGCGATCCCGGCGGGCGAGCGGGAGCCGGAGGAGGGAAGGCGCGCCCCCGCTCGGCTCCAGGGAAGCCCTAGTGGGCCCCCCAGGGACCCCTCCGAGCTCAGAGACCCGCTAGGGGGCCCCCCGGGGGGTCTGGGTAGGCTCTTCCCTGAGGCAACGACGCCCCCTGCTGGGAGGATTCGCAGGGGCCGGGAGCGGGCAGCACCCCCTGCGGCTGCCTCCCCCCGCCCTGGGTTTGGGGCTCCGGTGCCCTCGGGGGACGGGGGACGCTGGCGCGGGGAGCCCGGTCCCTCTCGCAGGGCAGGGCGGGCACCGAAGGGTTAAGGAGGCGCCCCCGGAGGAGGGGGGAGGCCGGGAGGGCAGAGGTCACAGCCGATCGCTTGGCGCGACCGCTTTATGGAGGCGCCTTCCCCGCCGCCCGGCCCCGCGCACCCGGGGAGCGCCCGCGGGAGGCGCGGGGGGAGGCGGCCGGCGCCCCCGGCAGGAGGCGGGGCGGGGGCTCAGGTGTCACCGTTCTCAGCCGTAAAGCGGCGGAAGGAGCGGCCGCCCCTTGGGGAGAGGCTTTGAAGTGTGAGATCAAAGGAGGGGGCAGGGCAGGGCTCCCCGCGGAGACCCCAACGGAGAGGGCCGGGAGGGGAATGGGGGACCGGGGAGCAGAGAGGGAGGCCGGGCTGGAGCCCCGAGGCTGCCCCAGCCCAGGGACGGACGGCGGGATGCCGGCCGGGGCGGGCGGGTCTGCCCCGCGCGGGGCGGGGGGAACGACGCTGCAGCTCAGGTGGCACCGGGCCCCGCAGCCCGCGCCTCCCCACCCCCCTTCCCGGACCGGCCTCCCAGCTCCTTCCGAGGCGGGGACCAGAAACCCCACATCTGGTCCCAGCCCTGGTCTCTCCCTGCCAGCGTGGCCGTGGGTGGGGCGGAGGACAGGCTCTGGGACTGAGCCCTGGACCCGTGCAGAGGGTTGGGGGGCCTTCGCTGGGGGGAGTCCAGAGGCCCCCCAAGAGACAAAGGATAAGGCCTGGGGGACGCACTGCGGGGCGGAGCCTCTGCGCCCTAAGGAGGGGACTCTGAAGGATGGGTGTGCAGGGGACATGACCTAGAGATGGAGGGTGGACTGTGGAAGGGACTTTGGGCGCAGCGGTACCTAATGCACTGTCAGTTGAAAGGAGGGAGCTGGAGGCTTCAGCCCGGTTCAGGGGTCTGGTTTTGGCGGAGGTGCCTGTGTTGGGGTGGGGAGGGCTGGGCTTCTGGAAGGCGGAGAGCAGCAACGAGAGACCGCCGAGGAAGGACAGACAAAAGCAGAGGTGGCGGCAAGGAGAGGGGTCCCTGGGGGCCGTGTGGCCCCGGGGTTACGCGCTCTGCCCGCGCTCCTCCCCCACCCGGGCCCCAGCAGTGCTGTAGGTAAAGGGAGAGGGATTAGGTTCTGACAGTGAAGTCGGGCTCCCAGCCAGAGGGAGGGAACATGGCTGAAACCAGACTCCCACCGCCTCCCTCCCCCTCAACGTCCCCTACCTCCTCCGCCCAAATCACTGTGTCCATCTCCACTCCCCGCCAGCCTCCCGAGCCCTAGCCAGAGCAGGCCGGTCCCCTGCTCAATAGGCAGCCTTCTGCAAAGAGAAGGGCCGGGGCGGCCCAAGCCCCCATAAGCCTGGGAACTGGGGATGTGAAAACCTCGCCCAGGAGATGATCCCTGGACGAGGGAGCCTGGACCTACCGTAGCGAAGGAGGGACGTGGTCTGACTGAGGACACTGAGGAGACTGGACAGGAGCTCCCCAGGGTGGGGACAGAGAGGCCTGGGCCCACTCCCCTCCCTTGACTTCCTCATCCCCCCCCCCCCCCCCAAGCCAGCCAGGATTTCCAAAAAGACAGAAGACAAAGGGAAGTCAGGCTGGGAAGGGAATTTTTTCCAGATGTGTTTGTGGTTTGGCAGCTCTGGGCCTGAGCTCCAGCCCCTGCACCCCAACCTTGGCTGAGGGGGGTGGTCCAGGGGTCTGGAGGAGGGTGCCGAGCAAGCGAGGCTGGAGGTCTCAGCCCCTAGATGCCGAGTTAACCCATTGTAAAGCGCAGGGGTGAGGCGGGGTGGTGGTGGGGAACCTTAGGGAAGATGCTGGGGAAGGGAGCCAAGGAGAGGGAACGGGATGAGACGGCCGGGGTGGGGGTGGGAAGGGGAAATGGGGCTAACGGAAGGGGAGAGTCGGGAGAGTTGGGGCGCCTAGGAGAGAGGAGCCAGGGGACTTGGCCATGGGGAGGAGCTTAGTCAGCATGGTCGCTCAGTCCCAAACAACTGGCTCTAATTTCCGGCCGGGATCAATAAGGAATTTCCCCATGTCGCTGGTCTTTTAATTACGACCAGACCTGGTGGGGGCGACCCGCTCCCCCTTTCATGGAGCCTTCGCCATATCCCTCTTGGGGCTTTCCCAGGAATCTGAAGACTCAGGCTGGAGAGAGAATTAGGAAAGGAACGTGCTAGGACTGCTCCATTGCAGTGCGGCTGAGAGGATTTCGGCTGGTTTTGCACTAGAAGGAATGGAGATAGCAAGCATCTGCGTGGCGGGAAGAGGGCGAGGGAGAGTGGATATACTGTGTGCTCGATGAAGGTGTCTGGGCCTTGGGAAAAGGAGAGGCCCCCGCCCCTCTCCATCACTCCCTGGAGGCTGGGTGGGGGGAGGAGTGGGAAGAGTGGGAGAGTCGTGTACCCTTCACCCTCACCCCCCACTGGGGCCAAAGAGAGCTGGCCAAATGCAGCACTTGTGGACGGGCCTCGCCCTGAGCCAGCCGTGTTATTGCATCTGCTGGGTCAGGGAGCTTGCTGGCTGGGAGTCATGCAGAAATGAAACCCAGGTGGGGGTGGGCCCATAGGCCCTGGGACTCCGGTAGGGAGAGCAGAGAAGGCAGGGCTTGAACAGAGGGCGGAAGGTCTGAGAGTGGAAAAAAGGAGTTGGTGTCGGGGTGGCCGTAGGAAGAATGCATGTAGCCGAAGTAGTAAGGGATGATGAATTTATGAGGTCATCTGGAGACCAGATGGGCTGAGCCCCAAAATGGCGCCGGCACCCAGGACAGGGAGTCGGAGGTTTTAAAGGACTCTAGGCGGGCTTTTACTGGGCGGAGCATTCCCTGGGCGGTCTGGGTCCTGGGAGGGTCCAGAGGGGAAGGATAATGGTCTTAGCAAGTGGAATGTGGTCTTAGCAAATGGAACCTGATGGAAGCGAGAGGGAATGCCCATGGTGGAGTGGCCTAAAGGTCAGTTCCCAGGGGAGGGGCGTTGATTCGATTATCCCATCAGACCCAACAGCTGGGAATGGCTGGGCTGGAACCGTTGTGTCTCCAGGTCTCCCTAAACCCTCGTATTTCACATAGCACAGTGTGGACTTGAGCATCCTGCCTCCTGGTCTGATTCTTCCTCCATACCACGGGAAGGCTCCATCCCTGTCTCCCTGGATTCAGGGACCCAGCCCTTTTCAAATCTGATAAGGCTCTGCCTCTCCCAAATAAAATTGCCATGGAGCAGGATGGATGGGATCAGAAAGAACTTCCTGCAAGCCGACGTGCAAGCTGGCAGGTGGGGCCAGAGATCCAGAGAATAGGCAACTCACTTCCCAGAAGCCTTTGGGTGCCGGGGAGAGACCGTGAGGACTAGGGAAGGTATGGGCAGCCGGACTCAGAGAACACCAGGCTGACCTCGAGGCCCAGCTCCAGGCCTTGGCCAAGGAGGCAGGTGCGGCCCGGCAGGGTCCGAACCACAGCGGGGAAGAAGCCGTAGCAGGAGGTGTTACAGTTAGACTAGGGACGGGCTGCGCAGCATCTAGGCGAGGCAGCCAGGCGGCTCCTCTGTTGTTTTTGGCTCTGCTGCCCGGTTCCCAGCTCCAGCTGCCAATGCTCTCCTCAGGGCTGGGCCAGCACGCTGAGCAGGTCAGGCTGAACCAACGGAAGAGCAAGGGAGACAAAAGGAGGTGGGGATGAACGGACCGAGGATGTGTCTGGACTGAATCTCTGTCCCTTTTTAAAAGAGGCCCTTGGCCAAGACCGGTTTGGCTCAGTGGATAGACTAGCGTTGGCCTGTGGCCTGAAGGGTCCCAGGTTTGATTCCGGTCAAGGGCATGTACCTTGGTTGCGGGCACATCCCCAGTAGCGGGTGTGCAAGAGGCAGCTGATCGATGATTCTCTCTCATCGATGTTTCTAACTCTCTATCCCTCTCTCTTCCTCTCTGTAAAAAATCAATAAAATATATTTTAAAAAAGAAAAAAGAAAGATAAAAAAAAAAAAAAGAGGCCCTTGGCTCTGCTGGCCTCTTGTCGGGGGGTGGGGAGGTGGTGGGGGTGGGGAGTGGGGGGCAGTACACAGGTAGTCACTGAAGAGCCTGGAGATCCCAAACAGGTGCTGGCAGCTGCCGCACTGACCTTACTCTCTGACCCTGGGGTCTTTGCTTCTTTTCCTCGCCCAGATTGGTGCTCCTTGCCCGTCAGGCATCTGGGCGGGGGAAAGGGGTGTCATCTTTTTCCCCACTCAGGCCCCTGCTGTTTCCTTTCCTACTTCAGAGAAAGTCACCAGTTTGACCCCCTTTCTCTTGGCCTCCCTGCTTCTCAGAGAGAGAGAAGG